CTTTTCAGCTGCTGGAATCTTAACCTTGACAAAAGCCCTGTGTCTCCTTTCATCTCGGAGCCCTTAGCCTATCTCCAGAAACTTCTCACTTTCAGAATTCTTTCATTGCTCTGTTAGGCCCCGGGCTGGGACCGCTTGTGTCTTAGGGTCTTTGTGCCCCGGACTTCACGGACGCCTGTCCCCTTCCCTGTGCGGGATCTGGAGCTGGTCTGCCCGCTGGGCACAGCCCTGAGTCCTCAGTGACCTCCGTGAGCTCCGAGGCTCCCAGGTCCTCCTCGGGGGCTCAGGTTTCCACTCCTCCACCTGCCCCAGTCTCTCTCCTTGGACTTCACGCCCGCCCGTATACTGTGGTCTAGCCAACTTGGGTTACTTGAGAAATACGTGACCCCATGTTTTCCTACCTGTGTACCATAGCTTATGCGATTTTTTCCCCATGCTGAATGTCTAACCTCTGTTTCCTCGACGAGATAGACATTTCAAAAAGTCATTCCAGTCGACCCACCCTGATCTTCCTTGCTGAGTGATGTTCCTCTCCCAGGGTGTGCTTGCCGCGCTCCACATTCATCATCTGCTCGTCACTTTCAGACATTTATCCTGTGTGTGTCCATGTATCCGCTTGTCTTACCATTGCTATTAAATCAGTGTACTCTAAGCCTTACGGTCTCATGTGGCCCTGTCTTTGAATGAAGCCACATTCAAAAGTCTCATCTAAAAACTAGGAAGAATTGAATTGTATTCCCAATATTTGCACATATCTCTATAAGGATATTTTAAAAAGGTCTAGTTCACAATCTATAAAAATACTATTTTCTCTCTTTCCCAATTTTCTTTGAGTATTTTTTTCATTGAAATCTTACTTGTCAACCCTCCCAAACTTTCTTTTAGAAACCTCAGTTTCATTGCTTTTCTCAGCCTAACCCTCTTATTTTTTAGCCCTTTGTGTAAATTTTACTTAAACAGGTTTGCTTGGGGGGGAAAATATTGTCTGCTTCAACCATTACCTGATTTATCCCTAACAAAGAACAACTCTGACACTGATTCTTCATGAAAAATGTCTTTTCCTCTTATCATTCCGACCTATGTCTAGATGTTGTCCCAGTTTTGTGTTACAAAGGCTGGGAATCAGCTGAGTAAAAGTAAATTCTCAGTAGACACTGGAATTGAAGAAAAATTCCTTATGAAGAGGGATGTATAGGGGAAATGCTGGGAATGCTGATAGAAAAAACTATGGTCACTATCATATTTCAATTTCTATTGGTCAAGGATTTTGTGGCCTTATTTATTTCACTATTGCATCTAATATGGAGACTTAAACTTACTAAACGCTCATTAAATATTTTCTAAATAAACTTGATGATTTACTAGATTTTTTTTTTTTTTGTTTTGTTTTTTAAATTTTTATTGTTGAAAGTATTACAGATGTCCCCTTTTTTCCCCATTGACCCCTTCCACCTTGCACCTACTCCCTGCCCCAGGCCTTCACCACACTATTGTCTGTGTCCAAGGGTTTTTTTAAGGACCATCTGGAAAGGCAGGTCCTGTTTTAGTTGTTACTCCCTAGCTATGACTATTTTTACATAACTTTTTGCCCTTAAAATTCATGGATATGTATTATTTTATGGATTCCAAAGAACATGTGGGATGAAAGGAAACTTAAAAATCCCACAGGATAGTAGTAATAGCCATACTGTCCTCCTCAAGCGAAAATGTGTGAAGTGAATCACCACAGCCCAAGTGCAGGCATGGGTTGTATTAGGAGAACCTCCACCATGACCTTGGCCGTCCTTATTTCTTAGTTTTAGAGTCGAAATGTACACAGTGCTTCTTTAGTTCTGTGATATTTCCATGGCCACTATTTTTCTGTGTTTTCCTAAAGATATAATATTCAGGAAAGAAACTTCAGGTTGGTATCTTTGATTACAGAAAAATATTTTTCTTAGTCCCTTTATATATTATTTCCCCCTTTTTCCTGTGGATTCCAGCCATTTTGAAGTTCATCATATTCTAGCAGAACTCCCACTTCTTTAGGCTATTAATTTGTGTGTAATTTCTGTCTCTCAGCTCTATTGTGAGCTTCAGGAGGGCAAGCATTCATTTACAAGTATTTATTGAGTATTAATAGATAATGAAGATACAAAGAGCTTATATTCTAGTTGGAGAGACATACATATGAACAAATTGCTGTGATCTAGTGAAATATGGCTGAAGATCACGTGCTAGGGGAGCAAGGAGCACAGAACAGCTGATTTCTTAGGGTGGGGCTTGGGAGTGGGGATACAATTCAGAAAGGCTCTAAAGAAAAAGGTAAAATGGAGCATAGTCTAAAAGGATCAATGAGAATTTGCCAACAAGCATGAAGAAGATCGTAGGAACAGGAAAATAGCTAACAGAGCAAAAAGTTACATAAAAACAAAATGTGGCACTCATAGCAAAAAGTTTTGTCTGGACATATTGAAGGTTTTTTTTAAATCAAGGGAGTGAAATCATCACTTATGCATTAGAAAGACACATCTGGTTGCAAGATGGATACAAAGTGGGCCATATGGGGCAGGATGAGAGGAACTAATGGTCCTTGTGAGCAGGCCATTGCATCGTATTAGCTAAGTGACGATTTAAAAGGTTGAAGTGCAGACAAAAAGAAGTGGGCCGTTTTAAGAAGTAGCTAAGAATTAGAATTGATGGACTGAAACAAAACGTGGAGGAAGGAAAGTTAAGGAAACTGAGAATTTTGGTTTAAGGTTGCTGGGAAAGCAGTGCTACCATTCAGTGAGATCCACAACATGTGAAGAATGTGTCGAGTACTGGATTTAGTGTTTGAATATTTAATTCTGAGATAATTTGGGGAAGTCCGTGTTGATTTCTGCGATAGGTCAGGCGATCAGGAGTGAGCTGTGGGTTGGAGGTGAAGATACAGGGTTAATGGTGTGTGGTGATGGATGGGGGAGTGGAAGAGGCCATCTGAAGAGGGGGGCTGCAGAACAGGAATAAGGATGGCACCCAGGGAACCACTGTAGTTAGTGGGGGTAGTTAGTGGGAAATTGGCAGAGAGAAAGGAACAGCAACAAAAACCATCTGGGGGAAAATAGAAAGGCAAGTGAAGCATCTCCAAAAAGATCCCATGGTGAACAGGACTATGTGCCATAGGACAGGCTAATAAAACACATAAAAACGATCCATTATACTTGGCCATTGGGATCAGTATGTTTGATTAGGTCTCACTCAGAACTAGAGTGGGACTGGGGTCAAAGAAATTAAGTGTCTTTGCTTCTATATGGCTGCTGTTGAGAGGAACTAGTGATGTATCACCGGCAGTTATCCTGGAATTTAATAGAACACATAACTCAAAAACATCCTGAGAGAGCTGTGCCCATCTCTAGATGCTCGGGGTCCAGGTTAGAGAACGTGTGCGTAGCAGCCACCCCCAGGAAGAAATGAGCACTGCAGGATCTGAGGACAGCCACCTAACATGGGGGGAGAGCGGTCAAAGAGAAAGGCCACATCCGCATTTGATGGAAGATGGGAACTTGGAGAAAATCGAGTTTTCCATGGGATATGTAGACTCCTTCCTTAAGAAGCCTTTATTATTCAGCTGTAGCCTGTCACACTGATATCAGTTAAAATGATAAAATCATTCAGTTTGGTTTTAGGTGAAGCTTGAGTCCTCTGGACCATCATCACCTTTCATTTCCACATTGGCCAAGGCATCAGTGACGATTACTGTGAGTCCGGGAGCTTCCGAGGATGTCGTTTGTAATGAGAAAATTTAATTGGAAGTCAAAATGCAAAGAGATAAGAAATGAAGAAAAGCATGAAGATAGAAAGCATAGATTACCATTCTGAGATATGTAAGTGGTGAAGGAAAGAGGGGAATTTGAGAAATTGAGTATATTCGTGGAAAGGGGCAAAGTCAGTGAGGAGTAAAGAAAGGATAACTGACCTCTTGTTAAGGTCAGAAAGAAAACATGATTTTAAGACCTCAGATGAAGGAATACATCTTAGACAGGAAGTGGGAGGCTTCCGTGTTACGTGGTTGTAGTCGGATCGTTTTGTTCATTTTGACTTAACAAGGAGAGCTGGCCACGATCCCAAATCCCCATGTCCTGGACCAGACAGATGCAAAAAATACAAGAGAAGAGCCACTGGAAGTGACGCAAACCTGCTGCACTGGCTTCAGTTTGCCCCACACCCCCGTGTAAGTGTGTTGTCCTGTGACTGCAGCAAGATGAGCTGAGAGATCTGCGTGGCGCGCTCTGCCCCTTAGGCTCGAGACCTCCCGGGACCCTGGCTGCGTGCCGGGAGAGGCGTGCCTTCGCCGCCGCCCCACTTCAGCCTCTGCTCGGTCTTTACGGCCTGCATGTGGGAAAAATAGTGCCATGAAACAAAAGTAGAATTCTCTCTGCTCCTCTATGCCAAGATGTGATTCCTAATGTAGTAGGACCCTGGGTGTCTGTGAGCACTGTGTTGTGCTAGTGACTCATTTTAAAGCTTTTCGGTGGAGTAAACGTGGCAGGTGCATCTGGAAAAATTTGCACTTCTTCTGGATCTCTGGTTCTCAAGTTGCTGAGAGTGAGGGTAGGAGGGAGAGACCAAAGCCGTACAGGAGTGCTTTCAAGGGAAGAGAGTGTGAGTGACTAGATCTATGTGTGAGCTGGTGGAGCAGGGGATGTAAAAACTCTCAGGAGATTCTGGTAAACACCTGTCTTTGTTCTGATATTAAATCACTGCCCCACAGATGAGCAAGTAAGAACCACAGGAGTGATGTTGGAGCTTCTGATTTAAGAGTTGGCTCGGGTAGATGATAAAGTCCAGGAAGCGGGCTCCCTTGGTGAATGGAGGTGGAAATAAGTGGAGTAAAGGCCGGGAAAAGGTGAGGCTGGAAGGGTGGGCATGTCCACCACGGGGTGGCTGAGGCTTTGCATTTCTCCTTCCTCACCCACAGCACTTTCTCCAGCACCAACTACATGGCGTGTATTCAATAAATACTCTTCATAGACTGCACATTTCAGAAAAATGTATTACTTTTAATATCAATTATGTGAGCATGCAACATTGCTAAATACAAAAGTCATACAGCTCACAAATGACTTCAGAGACTGCCACTTTTAATTGAACAATTTAGCGCCTGTCAAGATACCATAAATCACAGATCCTTTCCTGTTTCCACTTGATAACTCCACGTTTTCTCCCTATTTCTATCGGCATCACAAAGCATTGCTACCTGGAGGCAGTGACATTTCTTTACCCTTTCTGCCTCTCTGAAGAGAAGCAGCAGGATCCCTCAGCCTCTAAAATGCTGTGTTTCCACTGGGTCTGGGGAAGACTCGAGGATAGGGCACTGCCGTGCGCAGCTCGGGGGGTGTTGCCCCCAAATTGAAAGGTGCATGTTATCTATTGGTAAAAACATTTCAATGAATTTATGGTAACAAAATGCTGGCATAGGAGGCTTATAATCAATAAAAGGTAAATTTGATAAGTTCACACTTGTTGCAAATGAGTTGAAAAACTGTAATTGTCATATTTCTGGTTAAACAAAATGGGTAGCATGGGACATAAAAAAATACCTGAACCATGCTAACTTTATAGACTGCATGCCACAAAAATAACTTTTTGGAAGTATAACACAAAAAAATAAATGCTAAGTGAATATCTTTCTTTAAAAAGTACACTTTCCACGATTTAGACACATGTGTGCCATCATGCACATAGGTCACCTTGAGGAAGACAGTTCTTCTTTCTGGGACTGTTTCCTTCTCCAAAATGTGGAGGCTAAACCTGCCCATCTAAANACACATGTGTGCCATCATGCACATAGGTCACCTTGAGGAAGACAGTTCTTTCTGGGACTCAGTTTCCTTCTCCAAAATGTGGAGGCTAAACCTGCCCATCTAAATATTCCCATCCAGAGATACATGCTGTGTTTTGGTTTTATGGCCTGTGCAGTAGAAAGCTCCTTCGAGACAGAGGTTCAAATCTTAATTTCATCATTTATTAGCCTCTTCAGCTTTGAAAAGTTATATTTTGTTGTGCCTTAATTTGCTAATCCGTGAAATGGGATAACACTACTTCTTTAATTGAATTGTTTGAGGATTAAACGGGCAGATATGCTCTGGGAAGTGATTAGCATGTTGGTTAATTAATGGGCATTCGCTGTGTATTATCAAACCAGTGCCTTTGTTTTCCACACTTTCCTTCTCTCCTTAAAAATTCAATTCCTTGAATATTATTGACTTGCAAGTAAAACATATGACAATAAGATCTGGAAGGTACTGTGAACTTTTGCTGAGCAACATTTGTAAAGATGTTTTGGAAAGTGGATTTTTATCTTTCATCTTGGGAATGCCTTGGGTTTGAATACGGCAGACAAAGTAGCAGTACGAGGTCAAAATAATTCAAAAGCTGCATATGACTTCGCAGTTTAGCACTAGTATATATTCAAAGACAGGCAGGACACCACATGCATTAATCATAGTGTATCACATGGGAATAGCAACCCTCCACGTATACTCAGCACTACTCCTAAACTTTACAAAACCACACGGAATCAGTGTGGAATTCCACACCTTGAGGGTGAAAAGCACTTAACCTAGAGTCACAAGAAAGCTATGAGGACAGTAGAGGAGGGTATCGAAAAGGGGATTTTATGGGTTGGGTGTTTTAAATGGGCTACCAATGATTGTCTAAAAGGGCCTCAGGAATCTTTTCCCACTTGTAAGTCCACTCATAGGTAGATTTGTTTAAGTGAACATTTTGGACCCTAATGGTTTAGATAGTAGGAAGTACTCTAAAACTTAATTTTTCTTTTCTCTTTTCTGAGAGATTCACACATTAACATTTTTCCAGGAACCTATGACTGAGGACCAAACAATACCCATGCCCTTACCCCTCTCCTTTGAAGCGTACTGTAAAGGGAGGGGGGTGAGGGCAGACTTACCTTTCATCCCATTTGCACATTCAGAGGAGGGCTGAGTTCCTGGTTTTTCCATATAGTTACCTGTTGAAATACTCCTTAGCCTGCTCCACAGGGGACTGTGCTAAGACCTCAAGGCCAGTTAAGTGGGCTCTTTATCGTAAAGGGTCTTCCTCATGAGGCAATGGCAATGACTGGGTCCTTATTTATTACCACTGACAAATGACTTCATAATACTGACCCAGAGGGACAACACAGCTCACAGAAACTTTCCAAGTAAGAACCAAGATGCCAAAACACAGCTGAGGCCATCAACAGCATGAATGAGGATTTTGTTAGCTTCTAATGATGATGATGGTGATTTTATCAGAATGCAGTTCACACTAATTATTAGTAAAAGTTTACAAACATTAAAAAGTGCATAATAACATCTGGAGCTGATAGGGCTGAAAAAGAAAGGACAAGAGAACACGAGGGCTTTACGTTTGTGATTGGTGTTCACCTGGTTGCAATACCTGGTTGCAATACCAATTGGTTGCAAGACCATTTTCTCCACTTTTTCATCACCCTGGAGATCAGCTGTTTTCCTAATTTAAATAGTAGCATACAGCACTGAGAAATTTGATTCCAAAGAACAAAACATTTCCCGTTGTTCGTATTATCCTGTCTTCTCTTCCCCACCTTCCTAATTCTCCCAAATCCTCATAATTAAAGATAAAAATATTGGCTGGGAAAAGCTCTCCACTTGGAGATAAAACCAAGTTTGAAGATTGAATTCTGGTCTGCAGACACCGAACAAACTGAATTCAGGTAATATTCACATTAATGGATATTTCCAAATTCTGGCATCATAAAAGCAAAGGAGTCTTGATGAATCTGTTAGTCTTAATTCATTAGCAGTGAATCAAGGGGAAAGATTAAGTTTTAAAAATGTGTTCTATCCTGTGTACACCACCACACTACGGAGAAGAAAGAAGACAGCCCTTTTAAAAATGAGTGGTATAAAAATTCACAGTAATGTACATTATTTTTGTTTTTCATGAGCAGTCAAAGAAGGGGGCAGTGCCGAGCATCTATATTGTACAATACAAAACAGTGTAAGTCACACAGTGGGGACACACGGACACATGATGCTAAAAACTGCTTTCTGGATGGTTCTCTTACTGGGTGAATACTTGGGCCAGAGATACTTAAACTCTGGGGATCAGCCAACCCTTTGCAATTGGACACAATTAAATCCTCTGACACTGAGGGGCCAGATGCTACAGGGACAATCATCACGAAGGTCGCTGCTACCCTCTACAAGCATCTAGTCATGTGGTCAAGTGCACGGATCCATACAAAATGACGTCCAGACACAAGCCACGCGACTTCAGCCATTGCTAAGGACAGTGGTGGAGAAAAGTGTGTCTGCAGCCAGAGCCTCTGCTCCCATGTCTAACATGACAGCGAGCAGGTTCCTGCCGTGCAGCACAGCCATTTCCTTTCTCCCCTTGTCCCTCGTGGGCACAAATGTATTCCAGCCAGGCCCGGAGACGTGAGACATGGCCGGGCTGAGGAAGATCAACGCGGGGCGTTAGCTTTCGGGTTTGGCTGCTTCGCCTTCAGCTGCCCCGCTCTGTTCTGTCGAGCTCCGCGGTGCATCATCTTCACCTCCTGTAAGAGCGGAGAGCACACGGCAAAGTCAAAACCGGGCATGTTGCTGGCGATTTAGGAGTAGGCCAGAAGTCTGAAGTCCTCATAAAGTGTCCTGTCTTGTTAATTACCATCAAGAAAATAGCTTAAGTGGGTTAGCTAATTCTGGTTCTGTGACCTTGGGACAGTGAGGCTGGAAAAATAAGTGGACTTTCCCAGTAGTTAGCATGTGTGCTTCTGATAAATAATTGGGAAATCTCACGCCCAGGCTCTGGCACTCATGTTTAAAAGGTCTACGGGTGGCAGAAATCACAAGTGGAGAGCAACAAGTTTCCCTTTTTATCATGACTTTATTTTAGGAATTTTTTAAACAATGCATTTTACATTATTTATAGCATTTGATAACCCCAGCTGATTTCTCAGAGGTTTAATTAGTTTATATTAAAAGCAACAGTGGAAGATGAAAGGACATTATGCCAGCTGGTCAGTCCCTTGTCACACAGTAATAATAACTCTGGCCTGCCCTTAGCACACACAGAATTCCAATAAAACCACCCTCATAACTGCACCCTCTGCAGCAATTCCAGCTAGTGACACACAAACACTGAAATTGAACTATACTTTCTCTCCATATAGGTCATTTTATCTGAGGCCAAGCTGTAGGCAATCCTTGATTCAAAGATTCATATATTTGCATGTGTCAGTTCATTACTAAGCAACCAATATGGCTTAGTGAACAAAATATTTGAGGATGTTGCAATCATGTAAATTATAAGTGTTAAGAGTTTGTTACCATAATTCAAATGGTTAGAGGGAAGTGGGCTGACCCATTCTTTAAATGGAAATGTTGAAAGTGATTTCTCCTTTACTTTTAACAAGTACACGCAAAACATCTCACCATATAACATACTTTAGGGAAATTAAAATAGTTGTTCTACATTAAAAAAATTCTGTACTAAAAGGGGACCAGGCATTATATATCATTCTCATACACTACTTTCATTGTTGAAGCAATGACTAGGCTCCCATGATGGGCTGATGTCCTGTACCTAAGATGTGTAGATTCACAAGCAACAAGAACTTGGCAAATAGGAGAAGCTCTCGGTAACCAAAGAAATGAAGTCAGATTAGGGAAGGAGTGAGAGTGGAATATTTAAAGATGAAATTGCTGCATAAATACAAGATGAGGAATTTGAGTCCTGGGGAGCTTGGGACTTCCTAGGTGACTTTTATAGGGACTTTCCAGGGACAGTTCTCAGGGTTTAGCATAATGCTACAAGCTGGCTCAATAGATGATTGTTAACAAGTCAAGGTAAACATGGGACAGCAATATTAAGTATAAACTAAAATGAAGCTGAAACACTCAGGAATTACCAAGGAAGTCCCTCCCAATTCTCAGCTAGTGACATTTTGTCATACAGTTGTCATCATTGCAGAGCATTTGAGTGGGAAACCCTGTAAAGAGAAGTCATTGGAAATGGAGTGGGAGTAAGAGCTCAGTCCCTGACTTTTATCCTGCATTAGACTATTTATCACTCCATAGGCTACTATTGAAGATGGTCTTCCATGCCTTAATCCTACTTAGTGAAATGCTGAAATCGTTCTATGTTCATAGAGAAATATGTGTCAAACAACTCACCTGTCTTGTTGATATCAAGACCTGCCAATTTCAAGGCTAATTCATTGCTGTTGCCACTTGCAGAGGAAACCAGGATATCATGTATTGCATTTCTTCTACCTGTTCTTCCCGAAGCAATAAAATCTGCATATGTAGTTTCCACATCAGTCATTGCTAACAAATATCCACATAGCAGGGACTGAAAAAACAGAGAAATTAGCAGGTAAATATGTTGGTCAGTGGTAAACATTTCACCAAGACCCTTGTTAAATTATGGCCATTAAATATGAATGTGAAATAATTATCTTGCTTACATGTCCTCAAAGCAAGCGATGCTTTGATTCTTGATCAAGGGTCAGGGAATGTTTTTGTAAAGGGCCTGATAGAAAATACTTTAGGCTTTGAGGAACATATGGTCTCTGTCCCAGCTACTCAACTCTGTGGCTGTCGTGCAAAAGCAGTCGAAGATAATATGCTAAACAAATATAATATGAACTGTGTTTACAAAAGTAGACCTAGGGCCAGATTTGGCATGCATGCCATAGGCAGTGGCCACCTGGTTGAGGTCATAAAATTCTCTAATTGCATTTTAGTCGGCCTTCAACTCCAGAGAGGCGAACTTGAGTTCAGTTGCATACCAAGGTGAGGAGGTAGGTGGAAGTGGTCCATACTAGAGGTAAGAAGTAAGCATGCCTCGTCTGCAGAAAGTCTAAGAACAATAATGAAACTGAAATCCAGTTTTCTTTTCATCATCAGCACCCACCAGCAATTCTAAACAATGTCAGGGATCAAATGCTGCCCCCAGTGAAGGAGGACAGCTCCCACGTGGCCCTTTTCAGAAGCCATTGCTTGACAGGAATAACAATCTTTCTTGACTGAAGCTTTGAAATAAAATCTCAGATTTACAAAAGGAGTCAAAGTAGACTTTCCTGAACAAGCCTAGTGATACAAAGCCTTCATTGAAGACATAATAAAGAAAAATATTTTCAAAGTAAAATATGAGACATGTGTATTAAAGTACACCAAATGCAAATCTTTAATTTCTTTTTCTATGTTTAAATGTATGTCCTTCCTTGGAGGTCAAAACAGGGATGGATACTAAGATGAAAAAATGATCTATTGGGTTAACTTCTTTAAACAGCTTTAAGACTACACAATTTCTCTCATTCCTAAACGTGCCAGCTACATTTTACTATAGTTTAAGATTAAAAAGTCAGAGCGTTAATCAAGAGAAAGGAATCTTTACAAAACATTAGATGTATGGAGGAAGCTAAAATAGTAGACCCCGTACGCCATGGACACGCACCCTGTCACTCTGAAATAACCTGATGCCGAAACAATAACCGCAACTGAGGCTGGCAGCTCGCCCCTGAGGCTGTTCTTCCCCCAGTGCACAAGGAGGGAGCTGCTAATTCAACCTGCTGCAGAAAGATTTTTACATTCTCTTCTTGAAGAGGAAGCTGAAGCGGGAAAGAGGGAGGAACAGTCTAATACAAATTTCGAAATAGGAAGTATGTGTATACTACATGCTTCACTGAGACTGTGTTATGGAGGACATCGGTTTCCATTCCCTCGACTCACCATTCTTTTTTGTGGGAATGTGACTTAATAATGGTGGTTATAATTTTATTTAAAGTTTCACAGTGCTCCTCAGAAGATCCCGGGTTTAGCCCTGGTTGTGCCACCGGATCACGGAGTGACTGTTGGAAAATCACTCGACCTCCTGGCCCTTCATTGTCTAATGAGTGAAGTGGGACAGCTGGATGGCATGATCGTTAGTTACCCTTCACCGGAAGGTGTAAAAGCAATGATCAGTCAAACTGTCTCACTTCTAAAATCTTGAACTTGGAAATTCCCTTCTCTGGCTGTAACTACTTATTCTTTTCATTTTCCTCTTACTCTCTCTAAAAATATCTTTATTGTTGAGTGTATTACAGATGTCCCCCCTTTTTTCCCCTTGCCCCCCACCACCCGGTTCCTGCCCCTCCCCAGGCCTTCACTGCACCATTGTCTGTGTCCATGGGTTACCCATACATGCATACAAGTTCTTTGGTTAATCTCCCCCCCCCCTTCCCTCTGAGAGTCCTCAATCTTTTCCATGTTTCCATGCCTCTGGTTCTACTTTATTCATTAGTTTGTGTTCATTAAATTCCACATATAAGTGAGGTCATGAATCAGGTCACATCTTTCTTTTTTTTCTTTAATCCTTACCTGAGGATTTTTTTTCCATTGCTTTTCAGAGAGAGTGGAAGGGGGGAGGGGAGAGAAACATCAATGTGAGAGACACATCAATTGGTTGCCTCCTGCACTCGCCCCAGCTGGGGCTGAGCCTGCAACCGAGGTACGTGCCCTTGGCTGGAATCAAACCGGGGACCAAGTCCACAGGCCGATGCTCTAACCACTGAGCCAAACCAGCCAGGACATCTTTAATTCTTTTAACCCTTTTTATTTTTGTTTCCTCTAGGTCCAGGCTGGATCAGTTGCCCACCCTTTCATGTAGCTTCTAATTAGCATCAAGAAGTCCCTCTGGCCTTGGCTAGGAGGCTCAGTTGGAATGTCCTCCGGTACACCAAAAGGCGGTGGGTTCGCTCCCCTGTTGGGGTACATTTGGGAGGCAACCTATTGATGTTTCTCTCTCTCCTCCTTTGCTCGCTCTCTACAAAGTAATAAAAACATATCCTCAGGTGAGGATTATAAAAAAAAGTCCCCATGATCTACTGTGATGTCGACCTTCCTTCACCTCACCTGGGAAAACAGCACGGCTCCCTTCCTCTGATCTTATTACTGGGTGGCTAGTGTTACCAGAAAAAGGCACAAAATTGTGCCAATTGGCTCAACTAGAAATTCGTGACACTATTATTAGTATACGCTCCGAGATGTTGGGAAATTCCTTTGTTCACCTCTAGTTGACTCTTCCGTATGCTTTTCTCATGGGGAGGATTCCAAGCCCTTTTCTGTCCGCACAACCAGACACTACCTGCCCTAAGAGATGACTTGGGTCTTCCTTTTCTGAGAAGACACAGGACAACTGTTGCAAGTTCTCTTAAATCTCTTCCTCTCTCCAGCAAATTTCCCTGTGATCACCAGTGTTTCCTAGAGGAGCTCACTTTTCTTTCGGAGGCATGCTGCCGATTCTACTTCCTACCACCTCACGTAGGACCTTGCTCCCTCCATTTTTTCCCCTCCCATAATTTGATTCCTTTGTCGTCTCTGGATTTCTCCCTTGAGTTTATAAGCATGTTCAAGTCCTCTTTAAAAAACTGAACCAACCATTCACACAAATACCCTTTCCTCCACCCCCACTCCTCTGCACTGACTAATCTTTTTCCTTCCTTAAACTTCTCAGAAGGGTTCAGCTATTTTTATTTTCACTTTCTTTGAACAAGCCTTTAGAATTTTTGTATTTCATTGGCTTTGATAGTATGCTTTATGGAGACTACTTTCTTATAGATCACTGCCATGATCTTCATTAACGCTAATTAACAGCTTCATGTTAACGTTTCTTGAGAGTGCCCATCCTCTCTGAGCTCTCTGCAGTGCATGAGGTGCCAGCTGCATCCTAGCTGGAACTCCCCCTAGTACATGCAGCAAGTTATCGAGGCCCGTTTATTATGGGATCAGACCTCTGTATTTGAATCTAGACTTTCTATTAACTCGGTATGCTGTGTCTAATCTCTGTGTACTCAGTTCTTCATCTATAAATAGTGATGAATAGACTTAGTAGTCAAGGTGGCTATGAGGATTTACTTGGATTATGGATCTAAAGAGGCTAACACTGTGGCACGTACATGAGCGTCCCAGCAAAGCAGCAGTGTGACTGACACTGTGTAGGACTTTCCCAGGTTGTGTCACACCTGACAGGCATTTGGGTTATGACCCTTTTTACCTTAATTCTTGTCTGAAAACTTCATGTGACCACTGATGGGTGTTACTAGGAAACACCAATGTGATAATCATTTGGGGTCTGCTGAGACATTTAGGAGTCTTCCATATAGACCCGATGAGCAGATCTCAAGCCACCAGCTTGCAAAAGTGTCATCAGAAAGGCTTCATTCAAGAGCTCCAAATCCTCAATTACTAATTCTTACTTTCATCCCTGTATTAACATTAGTTATACAAAAAACTAATGTATTTGCTGTGGGAGCTCTTTTTATTCTTTAATTTGATATTCAGTAATTTTTTTCTGCATTGACAGAGTCCCTCCTCCGCACAAAACTGTTCTTTCCCACCCCTCTCCATACCTAGTTCCTGGCTATTGTTATTTTGAAGTCATCAGTGTAGCCAGTCCTAAGTATGTAAACGTTAACCTACAGGCTGGAGCCCTTGTCATGCAGTTGCAAGGTAATGGATCTTGTAGCCCACCTGAATTTCCCCTACTTTTAATCTCATAAATTTTATTGTGCTCCTAGTAAGATGAATTATCTATTAAAATTACATTTTCAACATAAAAAAATTAAGAGGCTAACACAATGTTTGGCACATGGTCGGGAGGTGCTGATAAAAATACTAGCTGGCACTTTCTTAGCTTCCACTGTATTTTACTACCCTGGTTCCATCCTATTTGTACTCTACACAGATCTCTCTTCCCACAGTCACCTGTTGAAATAGGGCACATTTCGTGGGAATTAAGGGGCAATCCTTGACCTTCCTTTCTTTCCTGACTTGAGTAACTCATCTAATCCCAAGGCTTGCCGTTCCTCACTAATGTTAATGCAAAGGGGTGGCTTCTCACACATCAGGGAAACTGAAGGCTAGGCATCTGCACTGGGTTTTGCACAAGCATTGCAGATTCAGTAAAGCGAAACAAGACAACGGCACCACACACCAATAGAGAGAACGGGCCTCGTGGATACATTACGTTGGGGCATCTTTTTACTCATTTCTCTCACATGATATCTGTGCCTGATCACTTACCCAGGTCATGTTGGTTTTCATTTGTTGACAGTTATATTTGTTTCTTGTGAAAGATAGGAAAAGCCCTTACAAGGATCATTGCTATCCAGAAGGAATCCACTTTTGCTGCTTTAACTTCAACCACTCAACTGGATAGAGTGAAAGGTAATAACTGCGACTGGGAGAAGAGCTAATTCCTGTAGACATCCCTTCCCTTAGGCACTTAGGAAATATATTTGCTAGACTTTAATTTTAAACCTTTAAGGGAACATAGAAACTAAGTACCGGGCATTCAATGATGGTAGC